ACAGCTGCCTCAAGTTTCTGTTAAACTTTTTTTTTTTTTTTTTGTCGGTTGTGGGGCCTGGAACTCTGGACCTGGGCACTGTCCCTTCAGCTCTTCAGCTTAAGGCTAGCGCTCTACCACTTGCTACAGTGCCACTTTTGGCTCTTCCTGTTTATGTGGCACTGGGGAATCAAACCCAGGGCCTCATGCATATAAGGCAAGCACTCTACCACTGAGCCACCTTCCTAACCCATCTGTTAAACTTTTTACTTCAAACAACCCTGACCAGTCAGGTAACAAATAGCTTCCAGGGGATGATGAAGTTTCACAATAGTGTATTAAGTATATAGTGTATTTTTGACTAAGATACAAACTTTATTTCCATTTTCCAGTTTTTACCTACTGTCCTTTTTCTGTCCCAGAATTCCTTCGAGGATACCACACTTGTTTAAAGATCTACTTAGCTTCCCCTGGGCTGTTTCTCAGACTTTGTAGACCTTGTAGATGGTTTGGAGAAGTACTGGCTAGATATTTATAGAATGTCATTCAATTTGAGGCTATGTGAGACTTTTCTCATGGTTGGACTAGGGTTACAAGTTTCAGGGGGAAGGACACAGAGGTAATGTTCCATTTTCATCACATGATATTAAGGGCCCATACTATCAACATGAAGTTTCACTGCCTGAGGTGTTGTCTCTTCTTACTCCATTCTGTTCCCTTCCATGCTGATTCTTTGGAAGGAAATCACTACTCAAAGTTTCCACTTAAGGGGTATTGCTTTACTTCCTGAAGGCTATTTATCTATTTGGATATTTGGAATTTTTATGCATAAGAGATTTGTTTATGTTTCATTTATTTAAGTATTCAATCATTTATATCATGTGGATTCATAATTACCTATTTTATGCTTTGGATTAGAATAATCCAGTATTGGGTTTCTTTTGCTGTTTAAAGTGTCCCAGTTCTGACTTTTGGGAGCCCTTTCAGTTGGCTGGAACTCAAGGCTTCACACTTTTTTTTTAATATATATATTTTTTATTGTAAAGATACTGTACCTCTAGAGTGGCTACAGTTACATGAGTAAGATAATGAGTACATTTCCTATGAGCATTGTTACCCCCAAGGCTTCACACTCTTACTCAGCTTTGTTTTATTTATGTGGTATTGGTCTTGGGGCTTGAACTCAGGCCACTTGCTCCCCTACCAGGGAAGGATCAGATGGTAGGACCTGAAATAAAAGGAGCACTGCTATTGAGGCATCCACGGAACCCCTGGCTGGCTTTATTGTTGTTGAGTCCTAATTATTGTAGGAGAGAAATCTTACCCTTACCCTGCAATGCTCTGCAGTCTTTTGGGGGAGGTAAGGTATTCAATAAGAACTGAAACTGGTGCAGGTGGGTGGAGAAGGAAGGTTACTTTGTGGGATAAAGATGACAAGTTCTAGAAATTCAGGAACTGAGAGGACGCGGAGGACTGGAGAAATTAAGTTGATGGGAAAGCTAGCAGCAGGAGGGACCACCCAGGGGGCTGGCCTAGGAGAGCAATGAGCAGAATGCCAGGCTCAAGGGCTGGGGCCTACACGTGAGGGAGGGGGATGGGTAGGCAGGGTAGGGCCTGACACAAACATTGGAATCTAATTTGGATATACAACAAGGAAATGTGGTAGCTTTGCAGAACCTTGGTGTAAGGGATGAGAAATTAAGAATAACCTGATGCTCAGTAGATACTATGTGGAAAATAAACTATGCAACTTGTGGGCAGGGACAGGAGGGAGAAAAGGGGAAAGCAAAGGAAGGGGCAACATTGTCCAAAATGAAATGTACTCTTAGCTGGGCACTGGTGGCTCATGCCTATAATATCATGACCAAAAAATAAATGTACTCTACCAGACATGAAATAGTAACCCTTCTGTAAACACCTTAATGACCATATATATTAAAAAAAATAGAGTAACCTAGTCCTGGTCCAGGTACCAGTGGCTCACACTTGTAACCCTAGCTACTCAGGAAGCTGAAATCTGAGGATTGAAGTTTGAAGCCAGCCTGGACAAGAAAATCTGTGAAATTCTACTTGGACTCTGGGCCTGGGCACTGTCCCTCAGCTCTTCAGCTCAAGGCTAGCACTCTACCTCTTGAGCCACAGTACCACTTTCCATTTGCTTAGTGGTTTATTGGAGATAAGAGTCTCACGAACTTTCCTTCTCAGCTTCCTGGCTTTGAACTGTGATCCTCAGATCTCAGCCTCCTAAGTAGCTTGGGTTACAGGCGTGAGCCACCGGCGCCTGGCCTTGAAATTCTTATCTCCAGTTAAACTACTAGAAAACCCAAAGGGGGTGCTGTGGCTCAAATGGTGGAGTGCTAGCCTTGAGCAAAAATGTTAAAGGACAGAGCCCCAGGTACTGAGTTCAAGTCCCACAACCAACAAGATAGAGATAGATAGATAGATAGATAGATAGATAGATAGATAGATAGATAGATAGATGATAGATAGATTCTATCTATCTAGACAGAATAACCTGATTATCTGTGTAGTTAGGAGTTGCCATTCAGAGTTTGGAATGAAACTGGCACAAAAAAGGCAAGGCTCAAAGGTGAAGAAACACAGATCTCAGTGATGGTTTGAATCCAGCAGAGCATAAAGTCAGTACTAGCCAATGACTTTTCAGCGGAGTGAATTAATTATTCTTGCTCTCACCCCCCCCCCACCTCTGACTGGTCTTGGTTTTTGTTTCCCAATAGAAAGGTTTCTAACCAATATTGAAACCGGAGTGGGGTCCCAAGTGGGATGACTGTGCATGCACTGAGCTCTGTCAGGCATTCCTGCCCAAGCAAACAGCCAGAAGTGTTTATTTGTACATGGATGACCACTAATAATAGGCAGGAAACACACATTCAGTGGATCTGAACTGAATGAGAATATCCTTTCAGACAGAGGGTAGGGGATGGACTGAGGCATGAGATGAGGTCTGAGCTGGGTAGAAACTCCAGTGACTTGCTGATGACATGGCTCAAAATAGGACTTGAGATTATGTTACAAAAATAATGTTGCTTCTGAGTGTTTCTTTCTTCTCTTTCGCTGCTCCTCATGCTCTGGGGGAAAGCAGGTTGCTATTCTGGGAGCAGCTTTACAAGCTACCAACCAGTAGGGGAGTAAGCATGAAAGTGATTGTAAGATGCCAGCAACCTTGGCTTGCCTACAACCTGATTCTAAGAAATGACAAAATAATGTTAATTGCTTTAAGCTGCCTAATTTTGTAATTTTTTTTCAGTGCTGGGGATTCTTCTGTACTGCTGTGGTAATATTATTTAACTTTGTTAGTAAAAGATCCTAAGTTTCTTATAGACCCTTAGAGTTAGCCTGCACTTTACTTATCTTTTTAACACAATACTTGCCCCAATGATATGTTTAATAAATATATGAAGAATATTTCCTGGTGCAATGGACAGATTTTGCCACCAGATGGTAGAAGAGAGTTAGATTGGAAGGATCTTAGGTATCAGGAAAATCATGCATCATTAGAACTTGTTGTGACTTTAAAAATAGTACATGCATTAAAATTAAAGCATAGACAATAAGAGCATTGACTAAAATATTTGCCAAAGTATTTAAACTTTCCATAAGGAATCTTGGCACTTTCTCAGTTACTTCTTTTCTCTTCCCTCATCTCTCTTTAGCTGTACTACAGGATTGAGTTTAGGGCCTCCTGGCCTGCTAGGTAGGCACTGTACCAGTTTGAGTTCAACTCCCAGTTGTTGTTTCTTTTTTCTTTTAGTTTCTTTTCACACTGGGTCTTGTGCTAAAGAGGCCTTCAACTTCTATTTTCCATCTCAGCCTTCTAAGTAAGTACCTGGGACTACAGATATGGGCCACCATAATGGGCCACCCCAATTAAAAGTGCTATTTGTTCCCCACTCACTTCAGTTTAGATCACCATTATGGTCTCTGCTGCCCCTGCTAGCACTGCCAGGCTTTTCTGCTTTGGTGCTACCCTTACTGCTTTCAAAGTACCTGAATAACCCAGTAAACAGGTTTATGTTTTTAGAGAGAGCTAGGGCAATCTCTCCTCTTTGTACCTATGAATGACTGTGTTAATAGTCCCACTGGAGCACAGTGGGACTCGGGATAGAGTTACTGGGCAAAACCTTTTAGAGGTCATCAAAGTCACAAGTAACTGCCCTTTCCCAGTGCCTGGACTTAGCTAGAACTGGCACTTGCTTGCTTCTCCAAGCCTGAGGTTGTGGGCTGAGCATGAACTAGTCTTGATGACCTTGACCTTCAACCTTCCCTCCTTAAGCACTTACTCCAGGCTCTGGGCGGGTCAGCCCCAGGACTGACAGCTGGCCTTCTTAGTCTCTGACCTCTAAGTTTGGCCTCTCCAGCCTTTTAAATAAGCTATGGTCTTGAGTGAGTCATTCACCCTCTCTGCAGTTTGGGCTCTGTAGCACATAATGGGCATGTGGCACAGGGCACAAGTAACACTTGTCTTCCAGCTCAGTTTTATAAGTACAAGGCAGAAATGAGTCTGACTTGCCCTGGGTTATTATGTTCAAGAGTGACACAAGGAGGAAGAGGAAGGAAGCTGTGGCTCCTACTGTCAGGGAAAGATCCTGGGTCAATAGATAAGCTCAGGCTACGTGACCTAGACTTCTGGAGCAGCAGTGACATTCCCTTGACATTTTAGACTAAAAGGTGTCCCTGGACCTCATCTGTTGCCCCCTAGGTCGTGCACACGACTCGCCGCAGTGTTAGGGACTGGAGCCCGGGTTCCTTTCACCACTCCACGGAACCTGGATGTCTGTGTGAGCATTAGGTCAGGGCGGCCTCGTGGGCACAGGACCAGTCCTTCAGGAAGAAGGAGACGGAAACGCACAGCCAATGACGATTGCCAGGCGCTCTGGCCCAGAGTTTCTGCCCCGGTCCAGGTCGGGGACGGCGCGTGTCCATCCAGTTGCGCCGGGCGGGCGGAGCGCAGAGCCACCGGGGGTGTGGCTTAGGGCCCGGGGCGGCTTCCCGGCGCGACTGTGGACTTCAGACGTGCCTGCCTGTGAGCTGTGACCGTCAGGACACCCCGCTCGCTCGGTCCCGCCTGCTGCCCCGACACGCGCCGGCATGACGGGCTCACTGTTCAAGGGAAACTTTTGGGTAAGTCTGCGGGCGCGCGCGGCTGACGTCCCGCCGGGGCACGGGCTGAGGTCAGGGCTGCCGTCGGTGACCCAGCGCCGCCGGGGCCCAGTCCTCCCGCTCCAGGGCAGACCCAGAACGCATGCCCGGTGCTGTGGCCCCCGGTGCTGTGGCCCCCTCTGCCCCTGGCCCTAACCCTCACCCCTTTTTATTTACAAGTTCTTGGAGCCAGTGTTTAGTTAGGGCTCACCCTGAGTACTCCCGAGGACGGACATAGCAGGGGACACCTTAGATCAGGACATAAGGAATGGATCCCCCCACAAAAAAAGGGTCACCCCATCCCAGCTGAGTCACCAGTGATCCTCAAGTCTGAGCCTGGGGACAGGGCCGGTGAGCAGTGTGTGTGTGTGGGGGTGTGTGTGGGGGGGTGTGTGTGTGTGTGTGTGTGTGTGTGTGTGTGTGTGTGTGTGTGTGTGTGTGTGTGGTGGGGGGGTGAGCTGCCAGGTGAGTAGTGTGTGTGTGTGTGTGTGGTGGAAGGTGAGCTGCCAGGTGAGCAGTGTGTGTGTGTGTGGGGGGGGTGAGCTGCCAGGTGAGCAATGTGTGTGTGTGTGTGTGTGTGGCAGGGGGGGTGAGCTTTGCCTGGCTGACAGCGGCAATCACTCTTGGGGAGTACCTTTACTAGGGTATGTGTAGGCAGAGGGGTGCTCTTTGCTGGAGCTTTGGACTGGCAGCTGTTCTCTGGAGTTTCCTCCCCAGCCCATGGGACCCTCTTACCTCACCGGGAAAGGTCTAGTTTGGAGGCAGCTGGTTTTCCTGATCACCCCCTTCGCCTCGTAACAGTCCTTGTGATGGTTCTGTCACTCCCAGGTAGCCATCAAGAATCTGTGCCCTTTAATTCTGAGAAGGTACCTTTTATTTTATTTTTTTGCTAGTACTGGGGTTTAAACCCAGGGTTTCACATTTACTCTATTTGCTTGTTATGCTGGCACTCTATGATTACTTGAGCCATGCCTCCAGTCCTGTTTTTTGCTGGTTATTTTGGAAATGGAGTCTTGAAGACTTCCCTCCTCCAGCTGGCTTGGAGCCAAGATCCTTTGGATCTCAGCCTCCAGAACAGCCAGGATTATAGGTGGTGAGCCTCTACACCTGACCCCTAATCCCTTTAAGTTAGGATAGGAAGTTGCCTCCCTGAGACCTGGTCCAAGCTGTGAAAGGGTCTAGCTCCTTACTTGGGACTTTGCTTGTCCTCCATTTAGCTTCAGATTTGCCTAGCAGGTCCCTCTCCCCATAGTGAGTTTCTGGGTGGAGAAAGCTGGTGACCTCAGGACACACTGTCTAGGTTGGGTCCTTCTGTGTCACTGCCCGCCTGTCAGGTGAAGGGCCGGGGTAGTATCACAGAGAGGGCCAACAGTGACAAAACTGGCCCTAAGAGGAGGTCTGAGGATTCTCCAAAGAGAATGTCAGACTTTGGAGTCCTGTGATAGGCACTGAGCACAGAGCAGACTTTTCAGATCTCAAGACAAATATCACTTCTTCTTTTTTTTTTTGCCGGTCATGGGGCCTGAACTCTGGGTCTGGGAGCTGTCCCTCAGCTCTTCAGCTCAAGGCTAGTGCTCTAGCACTGGAGCCACAGCATCACTTCCCGCTTTTTCTGTTTATGTGGTGCTGAGGAATCGAACCTAGGGCCTCATGCTTGCAAGGCATGCACTCTACCGCTGAGCTACCTTCCCAGCCCCGAGACAAATATCACTTCTTCCAGGACTTCCCTTCCCTTCTTTGATCCCTTCCCCTCTTTTTCCCCTCCCCTCTGCTCTTATCTCCTTTCTTGTCTTTCCTTTTCCTCTTCTTTTGTGCCAATATTAGGACTTGAACTCAGAGCCAGGTGCTGTCCCTTAGCTTCTTTGTTTAAGGCTAGTGCTCTACCACTTGAGCCATACTTCTATTTCTGGCTTTTTGCTGATTAATTGGAAATAAGAATCTCGTAGATTTTCCTTCTAGGCTACCTTCAAACTATATGATCCTCAGATTTCAGCTTCCTGAGTAACCAGGATTACAGGTGTGAGCTATTAGCAGCTGGCTCCAAGAAGGATTCTCCATTGTACTCAGTAGCTTTTGTTTATATGTGTTCTGTTCCTTCCTAGCATTTGCCAGCTTGTAACTTTGATGGTGTAGAGTGCACAAGTACTTGTGGTTAGATGTGTCCCAGTTCTCAACACTGCTGTTCTTTGCACAGGCTAGCATACAATGGATCCTCACCAGGTATTCGCTCAATGAATCAAATGAGTCAAAAGCCAACAGGGCACGGACTTGATAATTGCTGAAGCTTCATCCTCAGAGGCTCCCTGGCCGTAATAAGGCAGCCCTCTTTTCCAGCTGTTCCATACACATCCTGGCAGGAATGGTCAGGGGTGGGGACAGAGTGAAGTCTGGGTTGAGTTAGCGGTTGGGGCTAGGGGAGCACTTTCTGAGCTTATACTTTCAGAAATTGCCTTAGTCTGTGAGACAGTTAGCAAAGATATCTTCCATTCCTAATTCCATTTGTCAAATAATAAAAACAATGATTGCTGACATCACTATACATAGACTGTCCAACACTGCTCTAAATGTTTTATGTTTTGGTCAGTCATGGGGTTTGAACTCAGGGCCTGGGTGCTGTCCCTGAGCTTTTTTGCTTAAGGATAGCACTCTACCACTTTGAGCCAGAGTGCCACTTCCAGTTTTCTGATGGTTAATTGGAGATAAGAGTCTCACAGATTTTCCTGCCCAAGCTGGCTTCAAACTGTGATCCTCAGATCTCAGCCTCCTGGGTAATTAGGATTACAGGTGTGCGCCACCAGTGCCCAGTGCTCTAAATGTTTTGTGTTTTCTTCAGTTAAGCCTCCTAGCTACACTATGGGGTAGCTTACTTACAACAGCATTTTGTGGGTGATGTCACTGAGTGATAGAAAAGTTAAACAATATTCCCAGTGCCTGAAAGCTGTTAAATAATCCATCTGTATGGATTATTATGCTCAGTAGGTGCCTCACAAAAGAAAGGGGTATGGAGTGAGCAAGTCCCAGCATAGCTGTCTGTACCAGCCCTTTGGTGCTGCTCAGGTAGATATCGGGCCATTATTGCACTGTTCATAAAATCTGCTTTTCTCTTTCTGCTCCTCTCATGAGTTTCTGGAGGGTAGCCACAGTGTCACCATGAGCGAGGCTCCCAGTGACTGCCATTGTGGTTGGCACATGTGTGCCCTGGATCAGGCATATAGGACACGAGCAGCCAGGACTTGAGAGAAAGGGAGCAGAGAGAAGGGCTGCTTGTCAGGGCTCCTTGCTCTCAGGGAGCCGGCTGGGTGCAGCTATAGATAGAGCTGAGAGGATGGACATCATGTTCTTGTTTCAAGGATGAAAAAGTTGTGACTGGATAAGAGAGAAAACTTTGGAAACACAGCTGGCTATTGGTTTACTAGAGCTAATATTCATGAAAAACTCTCTGTCTTCAGTGTTATAATAGGAGGGGGGCATTTCCAGGGGTGAAACTACTCCCTGTCACAAGCTTGGTTAGAAGGTAGCATGTCTCATGAGGAAGGGAGGTGGGGAGGGCAGCTTTTAGCCTTGATTTTAAGAATATGGAGGAGGATCTAAGCGTGGTGGTTTAAGCCTTTACCTGTAATCCTAGCTACTTGGGAGTTGGAGATCTAGGGAATCTCAGTTGAAGCCAGCCAGGGCAAAAGAAGTTTGTGAGACTCCATTTCAGTGAATGGCCTCTCACTCAAGGGTGGGAACAGTGGCATGTACCTGTTATCATAACATGGGGAAGTCCAAGAAGGAGGATGGCAGCCCAGGCTAGCCTAGGCCTAAAACAAGCTCCTACCTTGAAAAAGGAATATGGAGGAGGGAAGAGCTAGGAGCGGGAAGTGTCTAGAATGGGCTAAAGACAAATTGGACCAAAGGTGGAGGGGTCTGTTCCAGTGTGGAGACAGTGAAGAAAGGAAGGAAATTGGAGAAACCTGGGCAAAGCCCAGGCCAGGCCAGTCAGTTGAAGGTGAACAGCAGAGAGAAGAGGTGTGGGATGGGAGAGGGGTGGCTGAAGCAGTTCTATAGAAGGGGAACTGGACAGCAACATGTGGGCCCCTGAAATCAGGAAGTCAGCAGGGGGAACTGGCTTGTGAAGACAGAAGTAGGAAGAGGCAGATATGATATTAACAATATTTACTTAGGTGTAGCACCTCCAAGGCTAGTTCAGTGCAGAGCTCTCCTCTGCCGCGCCTTCTAATTCTGCATACCAGGCGAGGGTTGCTGGGTACGGGGAGGTGGTCAGAGGGAGAAGACAAGGTGTCAGGAAGCAGAGTTTAGAAGCATTCTATATTTAGACAATTAGTACAAGCATGTCAGTGGGTACTGTCTGATGTCAGATTGTAGAGGTGATTTCTATCCTTGGAAAGAGTGTCCCAGTGAAAAAGCTCATGGAAGAACATGGTTATACCAGAATGTCACCGGCTGTCAGCAGGTGGTCTGAGATGGCCTGGCTTTGTGCAGATCACTTTACTCCCAAAACTTCCATTTTTACCAAGCATGAGACTAGGACAAAATTCTGCTTCATAGGAATGCTTCTTATGAGGATTCCAAAAGAGAGTTTAACACATTTCCTGGTACATGCAAGCACTTTTAATGGTTAGTTATTGTTACTATCAGGACATTGTGTGTGTGTGAGAGTGAGAGAGAGAGAGAGAGAGAGAGAGAGCGCAAAAGTGGAAAGCAACAGTTATTTAATGAGAAAGAATAAAGAGATAAGAAGGGGGGGGGGAGGAAGCCAGGCACTAGTGGCTTATATCTGCAATCCTAGCTACTCTGGAGCCTTAGATCTGAGGATCTAAGATTCAAAGCCAGCCCAGGCAGAAAGTCTATGAGATCCTTACCTCCAACTAACTACTACAAAGCTGGAGGTGGAGCTGTGGTTCAAGTGGTAGAGTGCTAACCTTGAGCAAAATTTTAAGGACAGGGGCTGGGAATGTGGCTTAGTGGTAGAGTGCTTG